AGATGAAGAAATCATATGATATTTCTTCATCTTTCTTAATTAAATATTGAATATAAAATTCATTTAATGTCAAATTACCACTTTACCCTTGAAATCAAAATATCTATACTAATTTACCCTTAATGAATTTGATATTTACATTAATACCAAGTTACAGTAACCTTATCATCTTCCAATAGTCAAAGGTAGACAAAATATTTTCCCACTTTACCATTTTGCCCTTGCAATTTTCAAAACTTACAATTCTATCACTTTAATCCAACAGTCCAAATTAAACATGGAATTAAATCCTTAAATATTATTTTTCACATTTAAAAATTTGAAAATAATATATTTATTTCCTTATTTTCGAAATCAAATGTAACCTTTCAAAATTACCATTTTGGTCCCTGAACTTTTCTAAAGTTTATACTTTGGTCACCAAACTTTACAAAATCTTATAATTTGGTCACTGACTAAATCCATTTATGGAATAAATTCTTTTTGGAAAAATACCATTTATCTTTAAACTTTCCCCTTTTTCTACTTTGACCATCAAACTTTCAAATTTACATTTTGGTCACTAGTCCTCTTTTTGGGATGTTACACAAATTATGGCGTGTGTGACGCGATGTTTTTTATGGGTGTCAATATTGGTGTGCTGTTACACCATTGATTAATTTTTCTTTTATTGAGATCCAATTTGTGGATAGAGTGCTGAGGCAATTCGACTTCCACCAACATATTCCGCAGAGTCCATGAGATCATGACCTCCTCCACAAATTAGACGGTCACCATCAGGTGAATTGGGTTGAGACACATGACCACCTCCACAAATTAGATGGTCGCTGTAAAGAAAAGGTGAATTGGGTTGAGAAGCATGTAACCTACATTAATGCAACCTACAAGGGTAGAAAGGCGACAATTTTTGAAATTTAAGAAAAATTTGGTAAAACTGAATACTCTCTACCGAGTGGGAGTGGGAGCATCTCAATAACCTGAATTGGAAATAACCCATATGGATAATAGCGTACCACAATCGTCCAACGATGCGGGATCGTTGAATCACACATTTGATGACTCTCTATCCTGGCATACGTACCAGAGTTTGTGCAGCCTCAGGCACCCATCTACTCTCCCATGTTTGAGTCGACGTATGACTTTGACCAAATGACATCTATGATGTCAAATACCAGTATTTGTCAGTCAACGTTTCCAAGAGGGATGTAAGAGCAAACTGGTGGAATGACAGAGCATAGTGGTTGGAATATATTTACAACACCAGTTGAAATTCCCCCAATGAATGAGGAGGATGGGTACCATACTCCTGAGCAACCGCAACGACCACAACACATTAGACGTCCGCCCTGACATTATCATTCAACAACACCCCCGCATCGACAACAATTATAAACTCATTTGTTATTTGTTTAAAATTAAATATTTAAATTATACTAGTATTTTATTTTATAAACATAAGTTATGTATTTAGAATTTTTTAACCTTAACTTAAAAACTTAAATTTTAATTTAAAATAAACTTAAATGTGTTAAATATTATTAAAACTTAAATATTATAATATTAAATTTGACTATTTATAAATATAAATTCGACTAGTTATAAATTCAACTATTTATAAGTTTGATTTAAATTGAATAAATTATATATAAATATTTAATCGTTATTAAATAATTATTAGTAATCATTATTAGTAATTATAATTTCATTATTACTAACCATTACTAAATCATTAGTATAAAATCTAGTGGGATGAAATATTAGATCCCTTAAATAGTATCAAAAGTTGAGTCTTAGTATTTATGAGAGAAGAAAACTTAATTGAGAGAGTCGTCTCATAATATATCTATTTAAAATTCGATCGATATAATCGATTAACATAAGAAAAATGATTAAAAAATTACCTATAATTTCTCTAATTAATCAAGTGAGCCATGCCCTATTTGCCTCTAGGTTTAGCCTCTTTAAAATTAAACTAAAAACAAACACGAGTAATACTTGAATCAAGCCTACAACATGGGTTATTATTAGTTAAAATATTTGAGTTTAATATTTTAATCCAATAAACACAAAGATGTCATAAATGGATAATGTGAAAACATTGTAATGCATTAAACTACTCATTTATACAGTCAAAGATCCAATTCACCATTGTGGGATGGGATCACATGCATGGAATAAGGTGCCTGGCATACTTGGCGATCTCCATTGTGGGATGAGATCACGTGCATGGCCAGCAACGCACACAGGACGTTCGACGGCTTGGCAACCTCCTTGGTCACCCGAAATACCTGACGACCAATGTTCTTCCTGTATCAAACACCCTATCTTAACAATTAATTTCAAATAACATTCGATTTTTTTTCCAACCATTATCTCACGAATTTAGCCAATAGAAAAGAGAGAAGATAATCTCAGGTCACTCATTTTATGTTGATTTGACATCATCAATGGTTGTGCTTTGTTACTTTTGTGACTTTTACTTTATAAAAATCCAAAGGTTGAGGATATGCTTGTTCCCAAATGTTGCATCTCAATTGTTCCCACTGTAGTAGCCAACGATATTGTTGTCAAACTTACGCTTTAAGCTTGCAGCTGAAAGTAGAACACATCAACGGTTAAGAATGCCCTAATCAAAAATTAAACATACTAATCTAAGTCTGCGCGACCAAACATAGTTTTCTCAGCAGATCGTAAAAACTTTGAAACCTTTCGCGATCGACCAACCTGAGAAACGAGAAAAACTTGAAAACAGAACATTTTGGAGCTCTAGATTTCGATCTCTGCCTATCAACTCCTCAGAGAATTCCTTGGCTCCGAAAATGGTATGTTCTTTATCTGTTTAGTTTTTCCCCTTTCCAAATTGACCTCTGTTTACCCGATAGAGAAAGCTGGGAACTCTTTGATCTAAGCTTCATAGTGTTCTGTCATGGTTATGGCAGATCCGATTTATTTTGTTGCAAAACAGGCAAGGCAAGACTCGTCTGGCCAAATACTACGTTCCTCTCGAGGACTCCGAGAAGCACAAAGTCGAATACGAGGTATTACAATTTTCCTTTTTGTTGATTATTTGAAAACCCCCTATTTTCACCCCCTACGGTTTTAGAATTTGAGCGCATTTCTTAGCTAGAGTTGTTGAATGTTTTTTATTATACGCTTACAGGTTCATCGATGGTGGTTAACAGGGACCCTAAATTTACTAATTTCGTGGAGGTTGGTATAATCTCACATTCTTTGTTTTAAATCTGTTTATTAACTTTCGTCGTTTTTGTTGAATTCCTAATATTTCATTCTTTACTATTTTTTTTTAGTAAGCTAAGGAAAAAAATTACCTTTAAATCATGGTTTTAGATTAGCGACTCCAGGAGAAGTTAACTAGAAAATTGAAGTAATACAAACGTAGGGCAGGACTTAAACTTTAGGCAAGCAATTTCTGAATGTTGATTGATTGTATGCATTCTTTTTGCATTTCGTACGCACAAGGTAATCTACAGGCGGTATGCTGGATTGTTTTTCTCATTGTGTGTTGACATAACTGATAATGAGTTGGCATATTTGGAGTCTATCCATTTATTTGGAGATATTGGACCATTTTTTCAGCAATGTTTGCGAGCTCGACTTAGTTTTTAATTTCCACAAGGTATGTTATCATCAATTTTTGTATGAACTTCATTTGCTGGATTCAACTTCTCTATCTGATTCACGTGAAACTGCGAGTTTCAATAACCAAACTTTTCCACCCTTTCATTTTGCTTTATTTTCAATTGGATTCATTAGTTGTGATCTCAAGTCTCAACTCTTTGCTTATATGCCTTCCGAATTACTTTTCTCAATCTTATCTAACTTGTGAAAGTTAGTTCTTGTCTTGTCTGGCATTGATTAGTTCATTTTTCTGTAATAATCCATGTGCTAACGTGATACGAATTTATTATATGTTCCACTCATTGGTTTAAACGTGTATAGTGGTTGATTGTCATATTCCTCTGAATTCACTTTACTGTTTTCCTTTGAAATTCATCAGGTTTATCTGATACTCGATGAATTCATTCTTGCTGGAGAGCTTCAAGAAACAAGCAAAAAGGTTGCTCCCCCTTTGTAGACTTTTTAATTATTTGACGTTAGATGGTTTTATTGACATTGCAACTTTTCTTCTCTTCCTTTATCTTTGTTACCTTTGGAATTGTTAGTTTTAGCAATGGCACTTTTGTAGTCTTTCATCTTTTGGTGTAAATTATTAGCTCATTATTGGTGATTTTTGCATGTCATTTACCAAAATAGTCTTTACGATCGTCTGGAATATATCGATAATTTCTTGTTATATAGAGGCAATGCAATATTTGATGGCTTGAAAACCAGCACTGAGGTTAGTGTTGTTGCATATTGCAGGCTATAATAGAGAGAATGGGGGAACTGGAGAAACTAGATTAACGATGATTCTGCATGAAAGACAGATGGTGCGCTTTGTGTCAAATATTTCTCTTTTTTGTTACCTGTTTTGCACAGCTAAATCTTAGGGTTATCAGGAAAGTGATATACAGAGCTTCCCTTTAGTCCGTTCCCCTTTCCCTAGTGTAGTCCTTGTAATGATACTTTGTTTAAATTGGAGAAGTTTTATTTGGTAAAATTTGAGTTTTCTTTTATTTCCCCTTTTCCCAATGTAGTCCTTGCAATGATTACATTGTTTAAATTGGATTGGTGCTTTATTTAAATCCCTTCCCCATTTTCCCGAAAATAGTCCTTCCAATGATCACATTGTTTAAATTGTATTGATAATTTGTTTAAATCCATTTCCCCCTTTTTTCCCAAAGTAGTCCCAACGATTAAATTGCTTTAAATTGGAGAAGATTATTGGGTAAAAATTTAAGCTTTTATTCCCTTCCCCTTATCCCAATGTAGTCCATGCAATGTAAATGTTTAAATTGGATTAAGTTTTCTTGAGTGACGATGCGGCCTATAAACATACACAATCAGACATTCTCATATCTTTCACTGTAAGCGGGTGATCATGCGGCAATGGGCATTAGAATATTCTTGCTAAAATTACAATGTCTCGTTATATTTCATTCCCGAATCTGTAGGTCAATAGATAAACATCGCTGTTGATTGTGTCAACGGTGACCACTGGCTATGATTTGCTGTTGAAAGAATAAAATAATGTTTACTGTGTGCATCGTAAGTGAAAGGGACCTCATTCAAACTTTAGATGTGCTCGTCGCAGAGTAACTGCAAAGGCGTCCCACCGGCACGTAGTCTACCATTGCTTTCTTCGTACATGGATGGAAGATGGTGGTCTAACCTTTTTGCTTTGGCTGGCGGCAAAGCTGAAGAAATGGTAATTATTGGCACCTGATGTTGTATGATTGTATTATACTTGAGACCAACAGCATCTAGATTTGAAAAGGGAGGAGTGGCATTTGAGTATAAGGCGTCGATGTAGAGGACTCGGGCTTTCCATTTTGCCAGCTTGGAAATTGGGTCAAGACCGTTGAGGTTCCACCAGGCTTGTACGGAGCTGCTACGTGGGCTGCCCAAAGTCGTTGCTGTTGCTGCTGCTTTGTAACTCCCAATTGACTCATGTAAGGAGGGGCACAAAAAGGGTTACTGGGATATTGAGGTAGCTGCAGTTGAACCTGCAGTAAATTACCAGAAAATGAGCATAGCTTTTATGACAAGAAATAACCAGACTAGCACAGAATATAACCATGGTAGCCTAAAACAACCACAAGAAGATTCAACTGAGTGCATGTTAAGAAATCATATTGATGGTCTCGTACTGGTACCGGAACCTAAATGCAGCAATTTTATGGATGACCTCACTTATTGGACGCAATTATTGGTAATAGCGATTGCACAAACAATGATTTCATTTACCATGTGCAGTTGAATTTAAAGGTTTTCAAATAGAATTCCCACTTTCCCATCATTAACCTATTTTTGCAAGATAGGAAGGAAAAAGGAGGGAGACCAAATAGAGAATTATACCTGATGTGTAGCTGCCGTTGAACGGTGGTCTGTGTAACGAGTTGCAGGTATTAAAGGTTTTCAAATAGAATTCCCACTTTCCCATCATTAACCTATTTTTGCAAGATAGGAAGGAAAAGGAGGGAGACCAATAGAGATTATACCTGATGTGTAGCTGTGCCGTTGAACGGTGGTCTGTGTAACGAGTTGCAGGTATCGAGAAAGGCACATGTGACTGTTTTTGAAATGAATGAAGGTACGGAACTTTTCCTTGGAGTTGTGACAATGATTCAATTGCATTTCCAACTTTATTAGAGCTATTCTTAACTTCCATACTAATGCCCCCAGCCGACAAAGGCAATAAATCAAAAGTCTGCACAGTAAACGGTGCGTGATCAGGATAGTGAGAAGAAAAAAATAACCACATGCAATCCCAATAGGTGACCTTACCTGCTTATTTGAAATGTTCCTCCCAGATGCTGAAGCAACACGTGGCTGTTCCTGATAGACCATCTTGGCTGTAGAATACCGTTTCTAGCTCATAATCATTTCTATTGGTAGCAGAATGGCCAGAACGCTACTAGGTATATTGCCATTTGTAGGATTTCTCAAGTTACTGCCATCTTTAGGAGGGAATTTGAACATGTATACCTTTTCAGTCGAAGAACCACTTTCTAATGAAAATGTTCTGGGACCATAGATTGCAGCATCCAACCAAGCAGGAAATTTATTAGCAGATGATCTGATATATATTAAAAGTATGAAAGATGCTATAAAGTTGATAATAAAAACAGATATCTATGATGATAAAGAGAATTACTTTGAAGAACCAGGGGTAAAGAACCATGGGCCAAGCTTTGCAACAATTCATGACCTATAGGACCAACATAATGTCAGTGTAAGGATGTTAGTATCCAATTAGCAAAGAAACAGCTAAATACAGTAATGGAATCACCCAAGCTGGTATTTACCATCTTTTCCAGGCTCCTTGATAATATGTTTCTGTGCCATTTGGCTTTCTGCAGCAGTAACCTACAAATAATCCAAAGCAACCATATGAGTTCAAGATTGACCAATGAAATAATATTAGATTTTGACCTTGGTGTCAAGCTTATACCCCAAATGTCATTCTGCCTTCCTCTCAAAAAGGTTGGTCACCAGTTTCTGCTTCAACCTGTGCATATGTATGATCAATTAAAAGAGAACAAAAGCGAGCACGCTAGATAAGAAGAGGATGCAAGTAAAAGAAAATCATCAGCACTTACCCAGTTTTTAAGGGTAGTTCAGATCGAACATGAGAGTCGCCAGGAATGCAAGATGACTTATCAGCTTCAGGTTCACTCCTAGCCAAGAAAGAGATGGAACCACTCGGCCTCATTGGAGACCAGTACTACCGGTTCAAAATGGGCTTCCTGCTGTCTGGCAAGTCAAGTTGATCTTGAGATATAGTTTCATTCAAAGATTGCATTTAGCGGCATCGTTGGTTGAATCCTCTAAAAAGTATGGAGGAACAAATCTCGGGTTGCTTGTGGATGGCAAATTGTGTTTGTATCTTCTTTTTTAACTGCAAAATCATATAATTTATACAGCAGAAGACAACAAACAAAATGTCTTCCAAATACTTGGTAAGTGGATGAAAACCTTCAATTGGTATGACAGTCTCTGGAGGAGCTGAAGGTTTTACTTCTTTTGGTTCACAATTTATTTTATTCGTATCCATCAAGTCACCGTCAGGGAACATTCCAGCCAAAGCATACAGGGTCTCCACAACCTCTTCCTCATCTTTTGTGATTGGTCCAGAAACAGTCGCCTTCCTGGACCAGTCTGACTCTCCTTGTTTCTACAAAAAGCATTTCAACAGCATAAGCTAAATAGTTAACTAAAAAAGAACCATAATAGAGCTTGACAACTGGAGAATTATGACAATTGACCAACCAAATTCAATTTTGGTTTCTTTCGACCATCCTTTCTATGCACTTCAACTCCACTAAGTGTATGGTTCGTTTCTTAGAATCTGGTGGAGGAGGGGAGATCGATTCCTGACTGCGCTTCTTCATGGCTGTGAAAATAAATTCCAAATAGCCGAAAACATTAATCCCATCAAACGTCTTTTTTTATTCCTCTACAAGGATTCAAGTTTCAAATTCATTAAAAGCTGGCCGGTACCACCATCGGAAAAGTAAATTTCAGTATGCAGAAAGACGCAAAAACTCAACATTATACTATTATTGAAAGTAATCAATACACACCATAAAATGACAGCATCAATAATATTAAAGAACTAAGAAACAAGACAGCAAAGAATCTTGCGTCCATAGAAAGAAAAGAAAAGGGAAAAGGCAAAAGGCCTTGGTTTCGCTTCAGTTCCAAACTTCTAATCCAAAAGCAAAAACAAAAATTGAGAAACTTCCCAGCAACACCAAAATTAAATGCAAACATAATTTAAAACGACAAGACAACAAGTTCACTAACCCTGAAAAAAACAAAAGCAAAAGAAAGAAAATAATTTTATAAAATACAGAAAAGGAAAATCCTTTCCTCTTTTCAGAATAAATTATATTCATTCCAAAAAAAAACAATCATCCTGTTATTCATTCACAAGTTACACACCTGACCGTAGCTTCCGTGGAATAGAGGCATGATTAAGGACATTGCAGTCATAAAAGAACTGCAGAAAAAAAATTAAGCTCTCAAATTCAAAGACGAAAAATATTCATTTTAGCTGAGAGCAAAGAAAAAAGAGAAAGCTTACCTTTTTGGGTATCTTAAAGATATTGGTGGCAGAATTAGAGACGGGAGAAGAAGTGTGGGTGAATGTGAAGGACACTGATTTTCCTCCATTAGCAGAAGACAAACCACAACAATAAGAACTACCCATTTCAGTTTTACAGTGTGGATTACTATCGGGACAAGGACTGGGACTTTCTCTATGACCATTAACGCTACATAATCTTCTAATTTTCTCTTTCTTTTCTTTCTCTAAAGAAACGAACTCCCCTGCACCAGCAACCAACGCCAACTCCACCTTCAAAATCAATGGACAGACCACACCATTTATCACTTACTTAGCTCTTCTTATCCAAATAATAATATAAAAGGAAGAAAAAAATTAAGGAATGTATGAAAAGGACAAGAAAAGGGAGGGGTTCAGAGTAAATTTACCAACAAGACGTTGGGTGAGATTGTTGTTTCTTGTTAGTATTAATCTGTTGTCGCGAGAACCGAGTCATTCCACGCCTCACCTCTCGACTCTTGTCCATTTCTGTTGATACCACATTCATGATACATTACTAACATCAATTTATATCCCTAGGCGGCTGCTTTTCCAGAAAACGGCATTCACGGTTCCAAAAAAAATTCAAAATCCAAATAAACTCATAAAAAGCTTCAAACCAGATCTTCTTCTTCTCTCCAGTATTAGAACTTCTTCAATACATGAACAAAAACAAGAATAATAAACAAGGTAAGAAAGATTCCTTTTAATGCAACTCTGTGTATAATTCAGTGAGAGAGGGAAAACGAAGGAGATGAGATGGATGAACTTTATTTAATTTTTTTTGTGGGTTTTAGTTGTGAGCGAAAAGTTAGCCGGAAAGAAAACCGAAAAAGTGGCGTTTGGTTTTGTTTTTTCAAAGGAAAGAGAAAATAAATCAAATTTGATTGCCTTGCCTGATATCTCTCCGTTTCTCTCTCTTTTCTCTTTGTTTTGTGAGTTTAGCGAAGTGCTTGAGAGGATATCCATTTCCTCTCAGCCGAGAAAGCGGACGTAAGAAAGAAGCGAAACATTTTACAGAGAAAGAGCAGAGAATGGTTTTTTTAATAGTAAACTAAAAAAAAGGTGAAAATAATTCTTTCTTCGTGCTTAGAAAATCAACTCGTTGTGAAAAACAAAATACTGAGACTCAAAAAGAGTAATATTAAGAGATAAAGATGGCACTGAAACTATATATATAAGAAAAACTCGCATGAAAAGCAAATCCTTGAGGAAAAAATCTCTTTTAAACTGTAATTCAAATATAGAAGAGATTATTAATGCAACGAATCTACTTTCTCAACCAACAATAAAAGAAAAAAGGAATTCATCACGCTTTTTCACCTTTTTTTTCCTTTCCTTTTTTTTAGATCAACCAAAACCACCATTGAAGATTAAGCTGATCAATGAATAACGAAGAAAAGAAAATCTCAAGTAAAGCAAAACAAGATGAAAAATAATCAGGCAGCAGAAATTGAATGCAGCTATCAGCAACCTTTTTTGTTCATTCACTTCAAAAATTTCCCACTGCGCTCTCTCCTCCCCCTGGTTGGCTTTTAAATGCATCACCTTCGCAGCAAAACGGCTTTCATTTATTATACTCCCTATGCCCACAAACTCCAAGTCCCATCTCACGTCATTCCATCTTTAATTTCTACCTCTCCTTTCCATAGCCGTCCGATCTTCACCTTTCCCCCTAGCAAACGGTGCAATTTGATTCCGAAATCTACGGTCGTTAGTTATCAATGTCAACGACTGCCAATTTCGACCCTTCGATTCCTTGGTTTCTTTAATTATGCTCCTACTACCATAGTCATAAAAAACCGCGTTTAAAATTGTTCAGTGCTTTTAATAAAATTTTGGAGTAACTGAAACTTGAGTTAAGACACTATATCCGACGGTCAGTAATCGCAATGCTCCAGGATGTATCACGTGGCACTCCTATATTTTTAGTAATAGTAGCTATTTGTTAAAGTAAATTCACGTGAGAGAAGGGAGAGATAATGGGTTGGAGAGCACGCGCTACATGAGACGCGAGTGGAATGTTGTGGTTAAAAAAGTGTATTCTATAGTAGGAAGAAAGGAAACGTTGACGGTAGCGAGGGATAGGAACAAAAAGAGTGGGGCTCGGCGATTTAATGAGAAGAAGACGGGAGGAACGAGAGATTATTTGATTTTTTGAGTGAGGTTGAGGATATGATTAGTACCGATCCCAATTCGATTTGTCTGCTCCTCGGCGTGGTCATAGGCAGCCCAATTCTGTCATTTGTTGTGCGTGATTTTGGATGAAGTGAATATTACCATATCACCCTTGATTCAACTTTTTAATTAATAGTTTATGTAATTTTAAGGGAATATAGGCTTATGATTTGTTAGGATCATTAATAATGTATAAATATTGTAAGTGTAATTGCTCGAATTCAAGATTTGAAGTGAAAATAATATTTCTTTTAATGACTGAGATCACTTCAAGCTCACACTTCAAATGAATTATTTATAAAATTAAATGTTAAAGTTGATTAGGGATGGGCCTAGAAAGGGGCGGGTGGAGACAATAATCCTCTTTAAAATTTTAAATATTTTATTTATATTTTCTATTGAAAATATATTTTTATCTTCTCTAAAATTTTATAAATTCTTTCCTATATAAAATTTTGTAAATTTGTCCCCTAATATAAAATCTTATGTGATAATTTATAATATTTTCCATGCTCCGTATTGACGTATTATTTAGGTATGGTATAGTATTTTTGTCAAAAATTAACTTTTTATAAAATAAGAAGTTTGAGAAAATGGTTAAAACTTGTCTTTGTCCCAACAAATAAAACTTACAGACCTATGTTTCATTCTGGCATTGGCTCCAATTGAGGTGTTCTCACAAGATCGTGACTCTACCCTCTCACAAGGGTTAGGTCTTGCTCTATTTAATACTGCTAATCAAAGCAATGTTTATTGTTGGGAAAGTAGTCCCTGCTAAGCCTACACATTCCTTCAGTCAAGGGTCAAAAACACCATGATTAAATTCCATCTAAAAATTAAACAAAAAATTCTAATGGACCTCCCCAGGTAAAGCATAAAGTTCAGTGGGCTCAAATTCAATAGCGGCATTGTTAGTCCATTCCAGGTTTAGGTTTTCAATATCTGGCTCAGCCCAATTGATAATATTTGTATTAATTCGGAAAAGCCGCCGATTGGAAATATATAAACCAAAAGTAGCCACAAACTCCGAGTACTTCACTATAATTAAAGCTGAAACAAGTAGTTACAACCATGTCTTTTTACACTGCGATTGATTATTGCCATCACAATCTTATTATATAATTTACTATATACTTATTGTATCGATGGTCTATGGGCATTTATGTCTACCGCCATGGGTGGTCATATCACGGTAGCAAGGACACGCATCATAGTTGTTATAGGTGCCAGGAGGAACACAGCTGCATCGAGAACAGCATGTTCCACATGCCCTTTTGCATAGGTTCGGCCTCGACGATAACTTGCATCTCTCGGCACAAGCTTTACCACAATCTAATTAAACCATAGCATGTATAAACTTCAATCAACATTCAAAGCTGAGTTATTAGTATTAATATCAGTATAGTGAAGGACGCACGTAATTGTTACCTATTTTTCCATCACTGATCACAGAATTCTCCACCGGGTTCTTGACCTGTAAACACGTAAGTGAGTCAAATTCTGAAAGTTAAGATCAAATCTAGAAATGCGAGTGCTTTACCTTTGTATCAGACGAATCAGCAAGGCGAAGTAAAGTAGAGAAAGAAGAAGGGAAGCCAAAAGGGTTTTGGAGATGGCCATCGCAATTTGTAAAACTAAGAGTTTGTGAGTGCGATGAGTAGATTCACACTGCTTGGCCTGGTATTTATAGCAAGAGAAAGGAAGGAATAGACGGTGATGTAAAGGTATGTTTGATTCTTACCAAAGTTATAGCCTTAAAAGGAAAGAAGCTATCAGACTGATGGATCATTAATTCCCTTACGTGTTTCAACGTCGATGTTAAGTCATGTGAAGAATAATGAGAATACATTGTTTTCAAATAGCACGAGGGGAGTGTGGAATTTTTGTCTTGATGAAACTCTAGCTCTTAATTGCTTGCTTGATCGTTCAAGAATCTCTTCGAATTTGGGATGTCTTGGTTGCATGAAACGGTTCACTTCAAACCTGTAAACAGGTAGAAACATTCTTGAGTTAATACTCAAGGAATTCATCCTATTTTATCAATAAATCTTGGATAGGGCTCTCCAGGTTCAACTTTGCTCTATTTTCGCGACTGCTTAAAGCAATGTGAGCTGAGAGTTGGTTGATGCTTAATGGAAAAAGCATGATATATTGAGTCTAGAAAGTGCTCTTCGTCTCTCGATCGACACCTTTGAAACATTTTCTAGTGATGAGTCGTAATCATACCTTTTTTGCTTCCTGCTGAGATAAAAAAATGACATCCTTCTCACAATTTCCTTCATAAATCTCAGTCGATTTCTTTTGATTTTCTATTGCTATGTTTTTTTTAAATAACTCAAATTTTAAATTTCGAAAGATTACATTAAACCATAAATATGTAAATACAAGTAACATTAAAAACAAAGAGAATTACACAAATTTATTTATTATCGTACACTCACACATGATATATTTCAAACTCGATACAACCATCGTCAATCATATTGATATCACGCCGAAGAAAGAAAGGAGAACAAGTCATTAAGTGGATGACTTTAGCTTTACATATAGATAGGACGTTTTTTTTATTTATTCTCACACCATGCGCGCATTAATTTATTTCTTATCACAACTCATTAATTATTATCAAATTAAGGAGAGATTGATTCGATCAGGTTGATATGAAATCAAGGGCACTTGCGTTTACCACCGTGGGTGGTCAGGCTAGCATAGCAGGGACACATTTCTTGGTTGCCAGCAGTTCCTGGAGGAACACAGTTGCAACGTGCGCAACATGTCCGCATGCCCTCTTGCATAAGTGTGGCCTTGATGATAACCGGCACCTTGCTGCACAAGCTCCACCACAGTCTGAAAACCAAATATATATATATATGTATATATGTTAAAAACGGGTTGACTTAGCCTATAAGTAATTTTCATGTCTCAGTATCATATTTAACGTGTTAAAATATTTACCAATTTTCTTCGGGGGCGAGGTTCTCTTTCTACCATTTGTCACCTGTATTTCACAAGAATCATTACTACTATTAACAGAGAGTTCATCGCGTAAATTATCCAAGAACGAAATAAAGCTTTACCAGTTGATGATCAGCTTCAACCAGTTGAATGAGAGAAGAGAGATGAGAAGTGAAGCAATCAAAGCCTTGGAAACAATAGCCATGACCAAAACCTAATGATTACTGATTAGAAAGAAACAGAGAATTGTTTGCCTTTCTAGTGTGAATGTATCGCCCTTAGCATTCTGTATTTATAGCAAAAATGTTGGAGTTAGAAAAGTACTGGTTAGTACTTAGTGATTGAAAATCCGAAACAATCCCATGGCAAGTACTCGGAAGATAAGGGGAAAAAGAAGTGTGCAGTTGTGAGTTGTCAGTTTTCAGGGAATATCTGTGGAGCGAAACGCTCCAATAGAATTATCTGGATCGGCCAAAGTAATTTCTCATTGTTTATGATTGATGGTGCTTCGTTCATCTAGTAGTGGCTTTTCCAAGCATGGCATTTGGTGCTTTTCTTACTATCCTTTTGTGGGGTTGATAAATGACCCTAAACTTGGATTCTTTTGATAATCCAAGTCGGTTTGCTTGGCTAGTCTCAATTATCACGTAACAGAAGCTTACACGATTCATGATTTTTTATGCTTATTGGCAAATTGACTTTCAATTTTCTGATCCCAAGTTCATACTTGCTTTAATTTGCTTTTAAGATGAGATTGGCCTGAGATGACAAGCGACAAGCCAAATTAACAAAACCTCTAATTAATTAAACTATAGGTGCATGCATTCTATAATACCATTATTGTCCAAGTCGGTAAGATAATTCAACACCCTGTCAACTATAGATATAGGAATAAAACCACCGTACCCTTCGACAGCTAATACTATGGGTAGGCCGGTGGATTCAAAGATGGCTTCCATTGAAAACTACTACATCATTGGGAGGTTTTTCCTATTCTCGGATAAAGAAGTTTGGCGTTCATTTTAGGCTTGAAATAGCGTTACCATTAATGAGCAACAAAGGGTTTGAAATTATGGGTAATTTGCCTAATCGGCGATTGTTCAGTGTGAAAATGATGGGACGTTTGTTACTTATGCAAATGCTCTTTATAAACATCACTACAAGTAATCAACCTAATCCAACCAACTAGACAGCTGTTCTTCGAAGCCTCTTCCCGACAACAGCTGTACCCTGCTCACGAATCTATTGCCAAAGTGGATACTTAATTATCCATCATTTCAGCTGCTTTCAAAGTGTTTGAATTCACTGAATTCTTGCATGAAAAGGAAGTGTTTAGGCTATAGACTCCAGAGTTGTGCTCAATGATATTCACGCATCCACTGTTCTGACATTAAAGTTTATCTCATTTTTAAAGCATTTATTTATTATTATTGTTTAATTACTTTCAACACCTAATAATTTCAATTCTCAAGTATCATTACTCGATGTTACTTAGGATCTATTTATTTCACATTAATTAGTTTTTTAATTTTTTTTTTTCATTTTTTAGTGTTTGGTCGGTGAAAAATAGATAAATCAATATAGTTCATTTTACTATTAAACATAACTTTTTTTATAATTTCTAAAAAATGACTTACGATCTGATTTTATATTTATAATGTATGATTTTAAATTAAAAATTAAAAATCATCTTATTTAACTATATGTTATGTTTTAAATGTTATTTTAATAGTATTAACAAAATAAAAGTCACTATTTAAGCATTATGCAAATTGCATTTAACTGGTTCGATATGTTTGTAAAATATATAAGAGGACCTGAGATTGAATAGGTTTAAGTGTTAAATATCCTTCAATTTATAGATAGAGAGGGAACATGATAGAATAACATTATATCAAATTATTCAAAAAATCATAACTTCAAGTTTCAACACAATACTAATAAATTTAGACACAAATCACTTATTCTTTTTAATAAAACTATTTATTAAAAATATTAATAAATATATTTTATATAAATTATTTCTTTCACTCACATAATACGAGCATGATAAAATTTGATTAATTTTTAATTTATTAAAATTCTAGTAGTCTAATTATTTTATTTAAAATTATCATTTTTAAAAAAATATTTAATTAAATAAAACAATTATGGATATTAATGTCTAAACATATTTAAAATTTTAAAATTCAATCATTATATAAACTAAGGATGAACTTCTATATTTGTGAAGAAAAAAAACATTGCTACGGTATGAAGAAATTATCCGAAAGTATAATAATTGATCAACAAATGTAGATGTAATACAACAACACTTTTAATCTTTAAAAAATAGCAAAATAATGTAAACCTTCGGTAATTAAATTAAAATTCATAAATAAAGTGAGAAATGTACGAGAAGGGTTTAGCAGAGGTGTGGAATTGGAGGACTTGGGCCCCTAGCCTGCGTCCTAAGCCTCAAAACACGCGCGAGTGGCGTCATTTGGATTTTGGAACAGTACTTTACTTAATGATTCAGCTTGTCGGGACTTGGGACAAGACAAGGGTTTAAGGATAAAGATGTTGGACAGCTGGCAGGCTGCTCACCAATCGGGAAGTTTTCAATTTTATGCGTCGCCGTCCTCTATAAAAATCCAATTGAATTTTTTATTGGTTCGATCGGTTTAAACCGCTCCAGTAATTCAAACATGGGTAATAATTATTAGGTTTAATATAAAAATAATGTTTAAATTATTTAAATTTTTTATTTAAAATAAGAAACTTTAAAATACATAAAAAATTCAAAATTTTAGAAAATCTTTAAAAAAAAATCTCAAACTTTGAAATTCTTTATTCTAATCTATATATCTTCATCGATTACCACACAGTGAGAGGGATGGGAGAGGCTGCGGGAAGGGGCAGCGGGGAGAGGGGGCTACGAGAAGAGGGATTGGAGAGACGGGAAGGAGAGAGAGGGAAAGGGAGTTGAGGGGATTTTTTTAAATTTTTTTAAATATAATAATTTATTTTAAAGTTTTTTAAAATATTTTTTAAAATTATAAGAATACAAAGCATGTCATTTAACTAGATTTTTTAACGATCGTTACGATTAGACACTTAAAATTATAATGTTTATAATGTTAAACACTTAAATTTACCGAAAAATAGTTTAAGAACCCGAATGAGAAAAATGATTTAATTTGGACATTTATTTTTATATTAAGCTTAATTAGTACGCGAATAGATAAATCGCAACGATAATATGTAAATCACAACGCAAATTCTCTAAATTCGCAACTCAAGTTTCGCAACGCTAATTACCGATATAGGTAATTAGCATTGCGAAAACGAAATTCGCGTTGCGATTTCCAAATTCGCAACACGAGGCAAATCGCAACGATAATATGTAAATCGCAACGCGAATTCTCCAAATTCGCAACTCGAATTTCGCAACGCTAATTACCGATATAGGTAATTAAAGTTGCGAAAATGAAATTCGCGTTGCGATTTTGGAGAATTGCGTTGCGAATAGGTAAATCGCAACGATAATATGTAAATCGCAACACGAATTCTCCAAATTTGCAACTCAAATTTCGCAACGCCAATTACCGATATAGGTAATTAGCGTTGCGAAAATGAAATTCGCGTTGCGATTTTGGAGAATCGCGTTGCGAAAACGAAATTCGCGTAGCGATTTTCCAAATTCGCAATGCGAAAGTCAAATACGCAACGCGAATAGTTAAATCACAACGATAATATGTAATTTACAACGCGAATTCTCCAAATTTGCAACTCGAATTTCGTAACGCTAATTACCGATATAGAGAATTAGAGTTGCGAAAATGAAATTCGCGTTGCGATAGTACTGTTTACCTATATCGGTAATTAGCGTTGCGAATTTGACTTCGCGTTGCG